TAGTACTACAAATCTATTACTCTTTTATAGCACTACTACATCTGTCACTCTTTTATAGCCCTGCTACATCTGGGAATCTTTATAGCACTGCTACATCTGTTATTCTGTATAGCCCTGCTACATCTGTGATTCTTTTTAGCACTACTACATCTGTGACTCTTTATAGCAATACTACATCTGTGACTCTTTATAGCCCTGCTTTATCTGTGACTTTTTATAATGCTGCTATGCCGTTATCTTGTATAACACTGCGTATAAGATATCTGACAATTGCTATGACCGCTACTGTTACCTGTACTACTGTGAATATGAACAACCTGCTTGATTGAGACGGGTAGTAAACAAGGACAAGCATGCAGAAACCAGCTGTAGACCAAAGAGGGATGTACCAATCAGCTCCTAGTGGCTACAGTGGGCATAGAGACAGTGAGATGGCTTTCATTGCCTTTATTACTACTACTAACAGCAAGGAGTCACTAGTGGATCTAGATGATGCCTAACTATTAGTGAAAAGTGAGATGGACATAATGTCTTCCTGGTTCTATGGAAATTTCAACTCTTTGTTGGCTGCTAGCGATGGGAGTGGAGCGCATGTGGGATTGCTGTGATGTTGATTCTGAACTCATCTTAAGGTTACTTGTAGAGTAAGCCTGGCTGACAGCGAATGTTTTGGGCTGAGTTTAAACTTCAGGGCAACAACATACATCTGCTCTTTTAAGGGAAAAGGAATGCTAGTAGATTGCCTAGTATGGAAATCACACTTTCTTTAAAAAATTAGAAAACCTATTTCTTTTTAAAGCAGGGTCATTTCATGAGCTGGCCGGCAGCCACAAGAAAACATTCTATTATTCCTAACCTAAAGCTATCTTAGATAGGTTTCCTATTTATTCCCATCAACTGGCTCTCTCATGAGTGTGTTTATTTATTCCCCATCTACTGGCTCTCTCATGAATGTGTTTATTTATTCCCATCTACAGGCTGTCTCACAGATTAGCACCACATTTACTTTAATCTTTTATCTCATCAGATAGGTCTAGTTTATTTCCACCTTTAAATGTCTATTTTGTTTCAGTTTGTAGCTTCAGGCTTTTTCAAAACACACATCTTTTGTAGTTTCTGTCGCCAAAACCGTATTTATTTGCATCATTGTCATCTTTTTAAAAAAAAAACCACATCCTACTTGACTTTTGTACTGGATCATGCAGAGAGTTTAGTTACAGATTTCTGGTTGGTCTCATTCATGTGGTCTCTGATTGTTTGGCTTGTTTCACGCTGGGGGCACGTTTACAAATATTTGTAATCCTCTGTTGGGCTGAGGCATTCAGGTGAATAGACACATCTCTTTTCTGCCTGTGTCTGTCTGACTTTTTTATATTTGTCTTTAGTTTCTATCACCTATACATCTATTTATGCTTCCATCTGTTTCATACTTATCTGCTATCTGTCTGTGACTGCGCCTGTCCTTTATCTGTTTGTGACCTCTTCTTTCTCTCTTCCATCTCCATTTTTTCTTTCACACTCTTTCTCTTATCTTTTCTTTTAAAGTCTATTCTTATCTCTGGCTTTCCCTATTTCTGTCCGTCTCTCTCTCTCTCTCTCTCTCTCTCTCTCTCTCTCTCTCTCTCTCTCTCTCTCTCTCTCTCTCTCTCTCTCTCTCTCTCTCTCTCTCTCTCTCTCTCTCTTTCTCCGTTTTATTTCTCCCTCACTTGCATCCATTCTCTCATGCACGCCATTGCTGTGGACACAAAATGAATGGTCTGTCGAGTGTTGTCAGTTCTAGAGAATCACACACACACAGTGCAGCAGATGTTGCATCAATGTGCATGGTTGTTCTAGTTTCACACAGCCGCCACTTGCTTGTAACAACATGTCAGCAGCATTTTATCTCTGTGACTCACCTATGGTACATTGGGCTTCTTCATATGCAAGCATACTAATATACCTACGGTTTTGTTTACTTATTATTGTTTATTTAAATGTTTATACATATTGAATGCCTTTAATTTGAGTCGCAGTCTAATACTATCTTGCATTGTTGAATAATTATAATTAGTTACAGTTGTTACATTTAATGTGGGTTCTGTGACCATATTCCGAAGAAAAAAAAAATAGAGAAGTTGTGTTTAATTTAATTATCCCTTAGCAAATGTGTCCTGAAATGGGATGTATCTAATTTCTAAAATCTGGGTTATTGTGCCAGAGGGTGCTAATATTCACAGCCTAGATGTAAAACCACAGCACAGTATGCCAACCTTCCTGTCATGAGACAGCAGAAGAAAATGTATTTCTTTTCAAAATGGCAGACATATTATAGTTTCCAGCCACAGGAGATATAAATGTTATCACAAATGCCATTACACGTATAAATAACTTCAGCTATGGAGAACATGCACCAGACTGCAGGAGTTATGATTTGGGTGCTCTTCACGGCACTCCGGGCATGTCTATAGGTGCTTAGATCCCTCCTTCAACATCTACATCAGTGTCCCATGGTTGACAGTCCCAGTCCTATGTTGGTTGACCACGACTTCTCGTGAGTCCGGTGTGCTTCTCCTGCCTGGCTGTGCTGATTTTTACTCCCAATTCTTGCTCTCTTAGCAAAGATGTGGATGTGCTGCTCCCAAAATCCTCCGATCGTCCTGCCTCTCTGATGGCATTACCAGTGTCGGCAATGATCCAAGGACCAGCCCTCTAAGACAAAGCCCGTTAATCTGTTGGCTCTGTCATTGCTGACTACGCCTACATACCTTGGGACAAAGATAAAAGTAACTCCACGCACAGCAAAGTTTTGCAGTGACTTGACCTGCGGGATCATGCTCATAGAATCACTCAGCACACACACACACACACACACACAAGAATAGCCTTGTAATAGTAGCCACCTGAAAGCTCATGTTACTCCAATCTAATGCTGCTAGCACCACTGGCCTCCTGAACTGTTCTGCCTCTAGAGCCCGTGCACTTATTTGTCCTCGCTCAACAGACCCATCTGTGTAGATCAGTACATCTGCATCCGCCACATTAAAATTTTCACATATAAGCGTGTGGACCTCTGCATCGACAGCAACTGGATTGTACTCCAGAATGTTTATCTGTGTATAGAAAATGATGGGACACCCTATACTATTATTACAAGCATTAGTCAGGACTGAGGCGTGCATCTAGTTCTACTAGTTGATTCTTCCATCACATTCTTGTAACAGTCATGACATGCAAATTACATGAGTAACTGAACCGATGACCTCACTAAGTATCTGTGATTTCATGTACACAATACACACTCCTTGAGTGGAGTCTGTTAATGGGGTTATGTTTACTTTGTGATAGATAACTCTGGAATCTGAAAACAGATGTATGTATAGTCTTGGGTGTACATAAGCAGTAGGGGTTTTTCCCGAATAAATCAAATTAGAATCAGATAATTCTTTAACACATTTAGGTAACAACGGAGTTAGTGTCTGGGTTTATAGTCTCTTTTGGAAGTTTGTATCAGTTAGTATCTAGGTTTCATAGACTGTTGTGGAAGTTTGTAACTTGTGTTTATCTAGGTACAGAGACTGTGTAGAAGTTTGTAACTGTGTTAGTATCTGGGTATAGAGACAGTTGTGTAGAAGTTTGTAATTGTTATTATCTAGGTACAGAGACTGTTGTGTAGAAGTTTGTAACTGTGTTAGTGTCTGGGTACAGAGACTGTTGTGTAGAAGTTTGTAAATTAGAATAAAATAGCCATATATGCTGTAAACTAGCCAACAAACAGGGCAAAGCTAAAGTAGATGAGCTAATAGTAAAGTAAAACAAATAGCTAATAAATAGTGCAGTAAAACAGCTTATGTGCTGGAACACAGCCAGAATTATGATAAAATAAGGTAAACTCCACAGCTTTAGTGTTCCGCCTCCAAGTACAGTAAAACATCTGAACATAACAGTAATTCAGCTGAACATAACTGTAATTCAGCTGAACATAACAGTAATTCAGCTGAACATAACAGTAATTCAGCTGAACATAACAGTAATTCAGCTGAACATAACAGTAATTCAGCTGAACATAACAGTAATTCAGCAGTGTGTGCATTGCATCAGTTTTAGGTACAGTACATTTATTTCTGGGTATAGCCAGAAAAAGCAGAGTAACCCACAGTGTGCAGAATCATCTACGGCACGCTAACACGATTCTTGTTACAAAATCAGATCCTTTTACAGACACTAGAGTTCAGTAAAACTGCCCAGCTGTCAAATACTATGTGACCAGACAGTTACCACTTTGTTATCTTCTTAGGTTGTAGAGGTAGACAGTGTAAACGGCTGAACACATATTAGGGCAGTCTGAGTCCAGCTGTGGATGTTTCAAGCCAGGGTACAGGCTGTTGAACTCCTTAGGTTACATGGAGATTCTGAGAGCATCGTGGGCTAGGGAAAAGGGGACATATGGACGTTTCAGGATCTGTACATAGAGGAAGCCTTGTTCACACACAGTCACGGAAATACATTAGCCAGATCAAATACCATAATGAGGGTATAGTCTCAAGAAGAGATAGCAGGGGTCAGCAGCGGACACAGGTTATCAATGTCATCTTGGGCGAGACTTGGCAAAAGACATAAATATTTGAAAGACATGTGATGTGAATGTTGCTACAGAAAAGATATGCCACTTGATATGTTTGGGTGTAATTTAGATAAACACATTGTTGCGGCGTCGGTCGTAACCACCTTGGGGTACTAGGTTTTAGGACATTGTAGGCCAGGGATGTCTTCAGGTTGAAGGTTTAGGGCCGATGGCTAGTGCAGTCACCATGCACTATGCACATTAGGGTTTTATTTTTCTATTGACAATAAAAGCTGTAAACTTACTGGGGATTGAAGACTAGATTTCTCAAAGGGCAGCAGGTATAATGTATTTATGTGACACTTTGGTAAAATACCCCTGATGCCAGTAGATCTTAACCTTTGAATATTTTGTTTCAGACACTTGACAGTAATCCCACCTGACGAACATTTCCATCATGAGCGCCTGGGATGCATACATTCAGAGCATGAAAAGCTCTGGCCTGCAGGTGTGCGGTATCTATGGCCTTGAGGGCGGCGTGTGGGCCCAGTCTCCAGAAATGAAGGCTACCCAGCAGGAAGTGGCCGCTATTGTTTCTGGCATCCAGTCACAGAACTTCAGCAATGGTCTGTCAATTGGTGGCGTCAGGTACACAGTGATTCGGGTATTTCCGGACACCGTCACTGCCAAGTGTCGAGGAGCCGCCCGGGAAGAGGAGAACTATCTCCTGCATGCTGCCCTGGCCAAAACCTGCGTCATTATTGGGGGGATGTGTGGCCCGTCAGAACGAGACGCCACAAAACTAGTCGAAGATATTCGTGATTACCTGGCAAAGAGCAATTACTGATATGTTTATATAAGTCCACACAACACAGGGGAATGATGGCAACATTAATAGAACAATTTATGTCCTATATTTTGTCACTGTAATAAACTTATTTGTGAATTGTGTGTTTGATATGAGACATACTGCAAGATGACAGTTGAATGATGAAATGTTGTACAGCAGTAACTTGTTTGTTATACATAAGTACTGCATCAGCAGTAGTAGTTTATCTAACTGCTGGCGTTGGTATTATAGAGACCAGACTGTACAAGTAGATGGAAGATTCTTTGACGGGACTGGCGAGTGAAGACATAATTTCTTGTTTGTTAAAGGAATATTATTGTACATTTGTTCTTTCTGTAAGATCAGAGCAGACACCTTGCATGTTTTATCTTCACCATTCTCTTAGAGCAGTGTGTTCCATTTGTATTTCTGTAAAATCTGTATTTGTTAGAGGATAGTGAACATGTTCCCTTCAGTGCTGATCTTCAGTGTGCTAGTTTGTACTTTCTGCGGGAGCTGGTGTCGAAAGAAGCCATTATTGTAGCTTCCAGACACTATAATGATACTTGAGCCACACTGTATTATTAGCCGGGGCAGCAGTGGGTATGACTATAAAACATGGAGGCTACACCAGATTAAGAATTCTGTTATGTCTTAGCTGAAGTAAATTCTGTTTTCTTTACTAGCTGTCTACTCTTTTAGTTTTCCAGTTGACCACTCTTTCAGGCTTTTGCAGACACACTGTTTTACAGATTCATTATTCACCTGCATATAACAATATTTTATTCTGGAAAATCGTTTTCTGTTCTTCCCTCCTGCAAATTTTTCATGATGCGTCTGTTTATATAACCAAGTGATTTTTCTTCCCCTGTCTCATTGAGTGTTGCATCAGTCTCACTAAACTGTGTCATTACTTCCAGTGAGGTCTGTCCTGTAAACCACATTTAGAAGCTCCCAGTTGTCTCGCTATATACCCATCCATTGATCCACATTAATGATCTGTACACTATTTACAGCGTATGCGTAACACTTGATGCTGTTATTTGACTTGTGTATGCGTGTTTACTGCAGTGTGTGTGTGTGTGTGTGTGTGTGGGGATGCTTTGCTTGTGCATTCTGATTAAAATAAACGTGTCACATGAGAGTTATTTTCTCTTGTTTGATGTCTGTGTAAGCATGTGTTTGTGGCTGACTTGTTTACTTTGATCAGTTAACCAAAGTTGCTGTAGACGGCAATATTGAAAAGATCACATTACTTTCATAACAGACTCAATAACACATACAGTACACCTAGAGCACGTAGAGAAAAATGTGCCCTTATCAATTAAGAAGCTTCCCTATGCGGGTTCCTGGAGCCCCATCATGGGAATAACAAGAACAGACCCAATCAACTAGTTAGGGGTTCCCCGTCAAAGTCATAGGACATCTGCCCGAGAGGCAGGAAACCAAGAGTTTGCATACAAATAAGCACTCTGGTTCTGGAACAAGACTAACGTCCAAAAGTAGACGGCGCCTAGTACGTTCTGCGGAAGTTTACTGCCAGTGAGCATGAGAAAGAACTGATAAGCACAGTTCAAAGTCTGCTGCTAACCTTTGCATCAAGAAACAAAATCACAGCATGCTGGGTTAACTTTAAAATAAAAATGCTTGGTAAGACATTGTTTTCCATCCATTCAGAACCGAAGTGACTGTTCTGGCTGTTGACTCTTTCAGCATTATGAAGACACTGTCAGTGCAAAGACAGTTGTAGGTGAACATTCATTGTCATGTTGTGACATTAGATGTGCAATTAGTTCAGATTCATAGATTGAATCCTGTCCAGTGGCCTCTCTCATCAGCGTTTGTAAGTTCATTTGGGCTCGTGGACTGAGACACCAGCTTGCCAAAACAGATTACCTGGCTCACTTGATAGGGATCTGAAAAGGCTAACCTAGATGATATATGCCTGAAGTTGGGTGTGTCGTCCAAAAGTCACAGATGTTACAGCTTTTTTGTTCGCAGGACACAAAAGTGTGTCACTCTGAGGAACAATTAACAACGTGATGGGGAGTAATTCTGGAGTAGCTCTTCCTGATAAAGCTTGCAGCGTTTTGCAAAATCACCTTCATTTTTGATCCAGTGCGTGGTGTGGAAGGCAGTGAGAGAGCAGACGCTCTGGCTGTCAGTGCAGCTATCAGGAATGGGCCCTCTATGGACAGGAGAGGTATCATCAAAGTCAAACGAGAGACTTAACGCTGTAAGACTTTTATTTTCGAGAAAAATTGTTTTCTGCTGAATACAGTACATACCCTGGGTGTACCAATTATAGCCTCGAAATAAGAAAACCACGTGGGAGCCACTGGTCATTACATGAACCAGAATAGAATGGGAGCTGGTGGCCCCAAAAAACACTTGGAGACTTACTCAGGGGGAGATCAGAGCATTTAAGTGATCTTTAGAATGAACAATGAACAGTTCCCGAAAGAAGTCTTGTCTTGCCCTGAACCAGAAGGGCCTGAGATCTATTCTCTTCAAAATGTTAAGTAAGGGTATCTTCGGTGCTAATTGTTTCTTTCACCGTGCATTGTGGTTTGTTATAATTAATTTAAACGTGTGACTATTAGCCGCCCCAACCCGTGTCTTATCTTGATCTGTTGGTGGCATGCGCCTGTGACTTACTCTGGTTTGTTGTCTCGGCCCCTAAAGCTACACTGGTGCTTTTACAAGTATGCATTATTGAACTTCCATGTCCACTCTTAAAAGGCCAGTTCACATGTTATGTTGTGGTTTACAGCTAAGCTGCAGTATGTATGCCTGCAGTTCCCCTGTATTTTACTTAGAACATACGAGTTAGAGGGCCGAATTTTTTTTTTTTTTTGATCTCCTAGTGGGGCCTCACAGCCCTCAGGGGGTGTTCTTTGACCAAGATCGTAGTGATTGTCACTTACAATTTGTTGACCCTGACACAGTAGATGTAAACCCAGGACCTTTGACTTAGCAATGAGCATCTAGACACAGCGCTATTGCAACTCTCAGGCTTGAGAAAGCAACAGTGCTTATCAGAATCTGATGTACTGAGACACAAGTTGTGTTGAGTCCATCAGTATATATTCTAGATCGGATTTGTTCACCTGCCAGACCAGTCCTCACCCCCAAAAGTATAGCAACTGACCCCCCCGGCTCACCTTTCATTTGTATTTGTAAACGGGCAGAAAGTTCCGGTTGTTCATCCACTTTTAGACATTTTTCAGAACCTGAGTGTTGCATGTGCATCCGTTATACAGATCTCATTTTATGCAGAATGTTGGTTCCTTGCCTCTCAGGCAGATGCACTCCGACTTGGAAGGAAGCTTCCAATTAGTGGAATTATATAACATTCTTGTTTTTCCCTATAATGGGGTGAAGAAAAAAAGAAGATTGTTATTGTAATTAACAGTCTTTCCTTACTAGGGCTCCAGCCTCTGATGTGGGAAAATCCCAGTTCTCCATTTTTTGCTCCATAGTCAGCTGAGTTGTATGGCCGAGCTCTAGATGCATAGTAATTAAACACTTTTGCCCTGAGGAAGCCGTTTTTCTGACTTTTATGGGTTTTGGTTGACACGTCTTTTGAGAGTGCCGATTACATCTTTATGACAGCTTTAGTGGCTTGGGCACCTCGTTTGACTCCGTTTATTATTATTTACAGTTTTTTTTTTTTTTTTACCCTTACTCTGATATTTTTATACCTAGTGTTTAATTTCTGTAAACCATGTTCGTTTATTTCTGTTTTTCCTATTAAGTAATTTTGTTTCAATAATCTTAGTTTATCCTTTTATCCCGGTAACTCTTGAAATAAAAAAGGGATTTTGACGAAGTAGGAATTTTTGGAAAAGGCAATTTTATATAGGTCATCGATTTCTTAAAAACTGAAACAATATCGAAGAGTATGAAGCAATGATGTTCAAAGTCTATTAACTCTACTGATCCCAAGTAGTTATTTTAACCGAGGTTGTCCTAAAAATTGTGGACGTTATACTAACAATCCGTGAGTCTTAATGGGGTTACAGTACAAGCTGTAAGTCAGAACAGTAGTCGTTAGTCTAGATTCTCACTACAGTGCTGACGGGTTGCGCCCGTAACTGCTCCTTTCCTGTACATGCGGAAGTCACACAAAATGTCCTCCACAATCCCGTTTGAAAACTTGTGAAAAACCTGGCAGCCATAGCAAAATCTCAGAGCTCACAGACACAAAATGAATGCTTAAGGCAGCCCTTAGATGTGCTTACACCAACAGTCCCAAACAAAATAATAGCCTACAGTTAAAGTAAGCAGACGTTTATAAACGCTGGTACAGTACACACAATACTAAATAAGTATACACTACACGCTGGCACAGTACACACAATACTAAATAAGTAAACACTACACGCTGGCACAGTACACACAATACTAAATAAGTAAACACTACACGCTGGCACAGTACACACAATACTAAATAAGTAAACACTACATGCTGGCACAGTACACACAATACTAAATAAGTAAACACTACTCCGAAAGTAATTGACCACTCACCATTATATCATGGAGCTCACAGTGCAAAGCTGTCTGGGATACAACAGAAAAGACATTTTTCATTAAATCCACAGGTCACGTTGTTGTAGCGAGTACCCTTCTCAGTGAGCACTGAAACCTCTGAGTCCCGCTAACCTGGTGGTTACCCAGCTGTCTGTCCTACTGGACCAGTGCCGCTAACCTGGTGGTTATCCAGCTAGCTGTCTGTCCTACTGGACCAGTGCCGCTAACCTGGTGGTTATCCAGCTGCCTGTCCTACTGGACCAGTGCCGCTAAACTGGTGGTTACCCAGCTGTCTGTCCTACTGGACCAGTGCCGCTAACCTGGTGGTTATCCAGGTGTCTGTCCTACTGGACCAGTGCCGCTAACCTGGTGGTTATCCAGCTGTCTGTCCTACTGGACCAGTGCCGCTAACCTGGTGGTTATCCAGCTGTCTGTCCTACTGGACCAGTGCCGCTAACCTGGTGGTTATCCAGCTGTCTGTCCTACTGGACCAGTGCCGCTAACCTGGTGGTTATCCAGCTGTCTGTCCTACTGGACCAGTGCCGCTAACCTGATGGTTATCCAGCTGTCTGTCCTACTGGACCAGTGCCGCTAACCTGGTGATTATCCAGCTGTCTGTCCTACTGGACCAGTGCCGCTAACCTGGTGGTTATCCAGCTGTCTGTCCTACTGGACCAGTGCCGCTAACCTGATGGTTATCCAGCTGTCTGTCCTAACTGGACCAGTGCCGCTAACCTGATGGTTATCCAGCTGTCTGTCCTACTGGACCAGTGTTTACAGTCATATTCTGGATATCATGGGTTAATGTAGCCAAATGGTCAGACAGATTAAGATATGAGAGAGATTCAACCCTGCCAAAATATCCACCTAGCGATAAACACCCGGTGACACAAAGTGCCACCTTGTGGATAAGGATCACCCGGGGAGACATCCCATATACTCAGTTCAACCTATAGGTTGGGTTATATTAGGGCCCCAAGCAACAGTCAGGGTGTGGTTTGATAACAAAAATGTGTGTCCAACATTGGATACAATGAGTGTGTACAATTAAGTAACAAATGCACCGTATGAAGTTTTGAAACAGTTTGTGTTGAGTTGCTTGGTGTGAAAGAATTATCCACAATATGGACACTTCCAGCTGGGTCCAGATCTTGTATGAAATATGTTCTTTCCCCCTGAACAGTGATTAATGAAAAATATGTTCTTATTTCGCCTGAACAGTGATTATTGAAAAATATGTTCTTATTTTGCCTGAACAGTGATTATTGAAATGTGTTCTAATTTTCCGTGAACTGTGATTAATAAATATTTGTTCTTATTTCCCCTTGGCAGTGATTTCCACTGAACAGTGATTAATGAAAAATATGTTCTAATTTCCTCTGGATAGTGATAAATTAAATATTTGTTATTTTCCCTGGGCAGTGATTAATGAAAAATATGTTCTCTTGGACAATAATTAATGAAAAATATTTTCTCATTTGCCCTGGACAGTAATTAGTGAAAAATATTTTCTTATTTGACCTGGACAGTAATTAATGAAAAATATGTTCTTATTTGACCTGGACAGTAATTAATGAAAAATATGTTCTAATTTCCCCTGAACCATGACATTTTCTAAAATGACTTTTTTCCCTCCTCAGTGTAGAAAATGTCGTGGGCTCCTTATGTGGAAACCCTGGAGAAGGGTAAGGGACGGTGCAAGTATGCAGGCATCTTCGGTATATCGCCTGTTTCCCCGTGGGCCGAATCCGCAAACAAAGAATCATTCCCCATCACAGTCGACGACGTTTCCAATCTCATACGGGTCATCAAATCCCAAGATATGAATGTTATGGCCTCAGGTGTTAGGGTGAGTTTGGATATTACGTGTGTGTGTTTTGAAAAAAGATCTGCTAGAGATTCAGTCCACTATCCGGGCTAGGTCCCTCATTTAGAAGAGATGTCTGAATATGCTAGAGATTCAGTCCACTATCCGGGCTAGGTCTCTCATTTAGAAGAGATGTCTGAACATGCTAGAGATTTAGTCCACTATCAGGGGTAGGTGTGTCGTTTAGAAAAGAATTAGAGAAATCAGAATGCTGGACTTCCACTACCCTGGGTACATTATTTTTTTTCTTTATAAAACTGCATTATGTGTGTCTGTTGGCAAACACATCTCATTTTATTTGAACATACGAGGGGTGTCCAGAAAAGAACAAGCCCTAATTAATATGAAAGAGTACAGATTACATGAGATCGATATAAACTGGCAGCCTGATAGTGACCTGTCTTTTACATACGTGAGCAATGGTAAAACTCTTTACCTGTTAGAGCTGGGATATGGTCATTGCAGATCATCATTTGGAGCAGTTTAAATAATTCTTCTTTGACAACTACTCGTTCATCTTCTTTTCGTTCTTAAACAATGACAGTATTGACAATTTTATCTTCTTCTTTCAGATCTAGCATGTTCATCCCTTTGTATCACTAATGTGATTTCTGGCCACAGTCAGCCAATACCCCCTTTGGCTCTCTCTCCTTCAAAGGGACACCACTGCCCCTGTATAGCGGCATACATCCATTGTGATCTGTGATTTCCTGCCCCTTTTTCTTGCTTTTAGTCAGAACCAAGATTTCTCCTAATTCTGCTTATCTACCCTATTACCTCGGTGTTCCCTTCCGTTAATGCCGCATATGTTCCATGTTCCGTAAGTAGTCCGAAAGCTATACCAGTTTGTCGCCGTTAAGATCCATCCCATTTTCTCTCTGTGGTAACTTGCAATCATAGTTTAATGCAGACAGATGATTGGCCGGTTGTGCCTTTGCATGGTGAAGGGGCTGCCTCCTAGCGGTCTCCATGCAGGCCGTTTTGCTTTTAATGATACCCGGATACTCGTGAAGCAGTCAGGTTCAGTCAGACCCTCCTCCTTATACAGCCGGGCTTTGGACCGGTCTCAGCTGAGTTCACAGCCAGTGAATGTGAAGAAAAAGATGTCTGATGAGGTTAGTCATCCAGTCCACTGCACCACTGATGGAATTTGGTTGTTGTTTGAAAAAAAAGAGTGTCATAACATTGAAATGAACGAGGTCTGTAAGGGCCAGTAACAACCATCATAGTCTCTGAGTTATTTTACCTAAGATGATGATAATAATTGTTATTATTAAAGTATGTGATTGTTATATTGCAGATTGGAGGGAATCTGAGTTTCACTTGTCTTAGATTGGAACCAAATATCCTGGTAATGCAAGGGAAGGGGGACAACAAAGACTATAGTGTTGTTGTTGCATTGTCAAGTGAGTTGTTGTTCCTGTTCTTTCATACGTTTTTTTTTTAAAGTTAGTATGGTGTAATGTTGACTACTTCCCCCACTGAATGCTGATAGGACTAGCCCTATATGCCAATCAGACCTGAAAGTGTGGAAAAGGGTCCTTATACTTTACTGTGATAGATGAAAGTCTTGGAGCATTTCACAAGCACTATAGAAAACACTGGGACTTATGAATTGGAAATGTTGCAGAATATCATAGGTCAAGAACAAGAATCATAGCATCTTGAGTGCAAAATCTGGACATAAACACCTGCCAGATTGCACATCAAAAACAGCTACAAGATTTCAACAGCAAGCAAGATCTGAAGATCAAAATCCTGGGTATCAAAACTGACTCCACATGTTTCATTACGTTTATTGCAGAGTAATATCCTATTCACAATCTTACAGTATTTTAATTATGGAAATTAGGGAAGCGACCACTTGATTAACATAAACAAAATTGTGGTCTCAGAAGCAATGTTTTTTTCATAGCACAGTGCAGACCTGATAAGGAGAACTCATGGGGGACCCAGGAAATGGTTTTTCTTATCAGAGATTCCTCTTATCTAAATAAGAATTCAAGCAAGGAAAATTGTTGAGGATAAACAAATTGTTCTTGACAACAGAAATTTGCCACATCCAAGATCGCCGTAAAAGGTCTGGACTATACACCTATAAGCTTCCAGTTATAACCATTTTTTTCAACCTCTTGATTTTTAGTCTCCCTGAAGTCTTGTTAGCGCAGTTTTGCTATTATTTTTTCCCCCTTCATTTTGAAACCAAATAATTTGTTTCACTTTGAAATATTTCAGATCAGGCATGCATTATTGGTTTCAATCCCGATGCCGACATAAAAGCAGCCCAGGTGCGAGACAGCCTTGAGCAGTTGCGAGATCATTTGTGCGCTGCCTGCTATTGATCAAAGTTCATGATTGTAACTTCAAATATTAGCTTATATTATAATAAATAACTCTTATATTATTAGTGTTAGCACTTCTCTTTTCTGTTAGGGGACATCTTTACTACTTCTGGTTTGTTTTCTCCGACACCAGTTTTGGGGATTCGGTTTTGTTTTTGTTTTTCTGCTGAAAACTTGTTATATTCCCATTGTTTTTATATTTAGTGCAGAAAATTCAGTAAATTTGTCTTGAAATTAGATTGTGGTTTTTTTTTTTTTTTTTTTTTTTAGTTAACAATTAAGTTTTTTTGTTCCTAAACTTTTAAATACACTACTACTATCATTGTTAACTATTATTTGTTTGTCCATCCAAACAAAAGATATAAAGATAAAAAGATCCATGTTTTTCTTTTGTTGTTGTTTCATATAGGTTATAACAAAAACAAAATATACATCGATTGGGTTCTCTGTGTTTTTAATGTGAGCGTGTGTGTTGCCTATTGTGCTCTGATCATTTAGATCAAATTGTTAGTTGTTGTTGTTGTTACTGCGGGCATCAAATATTGATCCTTGGCTGTATGTATGTGTGTTGCAATATTTAATTTTCTGTGGCCAGGAACTCTGTCAATTCATAACCAAATATATTTACTCCAAATTTATTTGTTTTCAAAATCCATTTGGGCACTTGTTGCTGGACTAAAAGTGTTCAAAACAAATATGTTAACGGTATCAGATCTGTTTCCTACTTTAGGCATATTGGGTTCACAGTCTAGCTTCTATTTTTATTGACCAGTTGGCAGTCAATAAGTTATAATATCAGTAGCATGCCGGTCGCCTTGACAGCCAAAAACATTTTCTGTTGGACATGTTTAGGTAAGGAGCCTAGATCAGTGGCTTCAAACATGTAATGAATAGACAAGTGCACGAGACATTGGGCTACCTCAGCTAGCAATGAATAGACAAGTGCACGAGACATTGGGCTACCTCAGCTAGCAATGAATAGACAAGTGCACGAGACATTGGGCTACCTCAGCTAGCAATGAATAGACAAGTGCACGAGACATTGGGTTACCTCAGCTAGCAATGAATAGACAAGTGCACGAGACATTGGGCTACCTCAGCTCACATTGAATACAACAAATCTGCTTATGTAGATGGGCTTTTTTCTGTGTTATAGCTAATTTTACATTGAGCCTAAGGCATAGTGATACTTTTCTCTCTGTAGCATTAAATTCTGCGAATCTGCCCACGTTTATGGTCTCTTTTATATGTGATCTTATTGTGAGCCTCCTGAATCTTTAAACTTTCCTCTCCTTGGCAAAAAAAAAATAAACTTTACACACACTGTACTCGAATGCAGCTTCATGTGTAACATCAGATGCCCTAATATAACTGCTAAACGGTTGATTGGGGTTCCTGGGATTTGTACCTGTCTTCCTCTTCTTAGCATTCACCTGCTGTAAACTGCAGCGGAAAGTTCTGGTTGCTCATCCACTTCTGATATTGTTCCAGAACTTGAGATTTGCATGCACATCCATTTTACAGATCTGGCTTATTTGTATGCAGACTTTTGGTTTTTCTTCTCTCCAGAAGATACACCCCTCTGTATACACCACACAAGAGGAAAATACAGGCAGTTAATGACAGTTCTTATGTATGGGCACTTGTGGCAGTTCTTATGTGCGGGCACTTGTGGCAGTTCTTATGTATGGGCACTTGTGACAGTTCTAATGTATGGGCACTTTTGATGAGCTTGCAAGAAACAGGGGATGTGGTTTCTGTTGTAGCCTAGAGAATAACACTGGCTTTGTCCTCCCTCGAAATCTGCAGGGTAGAAAACATGCTCAGTGCACATGCTTTGCCTAGTTTATCCCGCTATATATCCACCCCTTTTCCAATATTTACAGTTTTGATCTTTCTAAAATTCTTCACAGGTTAAAAGTGCACCTAGTTGACCTAATGTGTTCTGTTGGAGCATAGACAAATGTTTTGATTCTTTGGACAGCTGGAGTAGTCAGAGATCAAGACGACTGAAAAGATCAGCAAAAGTTAAAGTAGAGATTAACCAAATAATAATTATGCTGGATAGTCATGGTTTATAGAATGGATCAACATCATGGCAGAAGGGCATTAACCCATACGTGCTCCGTTCTGATTCTAACTCAAGCTTATACTCAAGTTATAAGAATCTTGGTGCCGTGCACAGACTCTGTAGCACCGGCAAAGATCCTGAATAACTTGGGGTAGATTTTTAACTCCAAATTTTGCCTGGGCATTGCAGATAGGATACTCTTTCTGATTTTCAACTGTTTAGGGATTGATTTTTTTTTACATGTGCAGCAATGCACAGGAGCATTTGACTTTACTATCCAGAGACCAGGGAAAGTTACTAGAAGTCCATGTGAAAAAATCCCAGCCTGAACTTAGGACCTCCAGCACTCCAGGCGGACGCCTTGCCTTGAGACCATTTAGCCTCCTGGATAGTCAAAGATGGTGGAATGAACACATTTCAGTAGACTATCGAGAACACCAGAGATATGAATCTCTATATACTGTACTGATGATGATGGTAATCAGCTATGATAACCCACTGGTATAGGGTGAGTCCTAAACAGTGAAAGAATTTTCTCTCCTGCAGTGATGGCTTAGATGGAGACCCGAGATATCCTTCTGAAAATTAAGGCAACAGCATGAGTGATAACTATATCCCTAAATAGTTGATCAGTTGAGTTTTTAGAACTGACTTCAGAGCATTCCCATAAACACTCTAACACCATTTTCAGCAGCCATTGCAGAGTTCCATTTCTAATGGTGGCAGTAGCTGTCCAATTGTATGTTCATCTTGCCTCTCCACTGCGTATTGGCCCATCCCCTGGTCAAACTCAATGCACCGTTTTCCTTGGAAATGACTTGTTTTTGCTTAGTTTCATCCTGAAACGTAAGAACCTGATGATGCTCATATATATCCTCATCTCCTAACCCTTTCACCCTGGTAATGCTAAAAAAAAAAAAATGCATAAAATATGTATTGGGTGAAACGTGATTTGAGCCTGTCACGTTCTGACCCAACAGGAAAATTATGATATCAACACAGACCTAAAAATGCCATTTGATTCACAAGAAAAACTCCCTAAATGCTATTTTTATCAATATATTCATATCCTGACCTCCAGAATGCTGGAGAGGTGCCAGCACAGCCAGTAGTGATAACTGTACATCTTGTAAACAAATCACTGTAGAAAAGACAATAAAACAACTTTTACAGGAAATTGAACCAAACCAGAAATGTCAGTTTTGTGGTTTCTTAGGGCAAAACTTCATGTTCAGTTGGGATCTTCATTGGCTCAGAAAATATACTGATTCATTTTTCAGGCCTAGGACTTGGGTCAAGGATGCCTGTTTAATTTGTTTGCTCGTGGAAATGATATGGAGTGTTTGTGTTCCCTATCGTTTCCTTGTTCTTATTTCCACTAATTTAACCAGGAAGACCAATCTGGTTGAAAAAATGCATGCAAATGTTTAGGCGAAAGGCACAAATATCGCAGGCATGCCTTAAATGGGTTCGACACAATTGTATCTTTGGATGAGCTAAATACACCACAAATGTTTTTTTGTTTTTTTCGGGAAGTGCTATTGTACCATGAAGTTCATTCTTTTCCCTGGTTTTTTTTTTTTCGTCTGCCATTTTTCACGCACCCTTCTTTATTTCTTACCATACGGTTATAATTTCTTTGAATATTCTTCCTTATCACAAATCATTTGTTTAGCATAAATTTCCCCTTCCCCTTTGCTGCCTGTTTTAAGGCCCACATTTATCCAGGTTATTTTCTGTATTATCAGTTTTGTTCTCATAAAAAATTTATTTGTTATAAATAGTTTACTCGTTATCATAAATAGTTTATTCTTTATCATAAATAGTTCATTCTTTATCATAAATCGCTCATTCTTTATCATAAACGTTCATTCTTTATCATAAATCGTTCATTTTTTATCATAAATCGTTCATTCTTTATCATAAATCGTTCATTCTTTATCATAAATCGTTCATTCTTTATCATAAACGTTCATTCTTTATCATAAATTGTTCTTCTTTATCATAAATCGTTTATTCTTTATCATAAACGTTTATTCTTTATCATAAATCGTTCATTCTTTATCACTACTGGTGTTGTTTTCTGCACTAGGTCAGCATTCCTCAACCTTTTTATTGTCCACCTGCGGCCATCAAAACAGGAACAATCCAGCTTACAGCTAACCAAAGTAACCGTTGGGCTACATAAGCCTCTGATCCTCTAATGTAACTTTCATGCGGTTCTAACAGGGTTTCTGGGAGTTATACCTGTTGAGTCTGATAACTAAGGTGTTAATTTTAGATACTGCGATCCCCAGAAGTGAAAACATACACACCCCACACAGTTTCATGTTGGCAGCCCACCACGTCTTCACTGTCCACTAATAGCCTACACCCCACACAGTTTCATGTTGGCAGCCCACCACGTCTTCACTGTCCACTAATAGCCTACACCCCACACAGTTTCATGTTGGCAGCCCACCACGTCTTCACTGTCCACTAATAGCCTACACCCCACCAGTTGAAGAACACTGCTTTAGATGATGTCTCTTTCTTGATTACTTCCAAAAACTCTTTCATGCCAAGCTTGATAGTTGCGGAAACAATGAACTTTCTTGTTATTAATCAGTTCTTATAGTCATACATAAGGCACGTTGTTTCATCTTGCCCCCCCTTGTCTCTGTTTTCTTGTCCAGATGTTTTGTTCTCAGGTGCACTTTGTTTCCCTGCTTACATTTTTGGAAATAGTTACAAACTACTCCTTATGCACAACCATTGCCATTGTATTTCACATTGGCCTCTCCCAACTCCTCTTCCACAATTGTTGATCGTTATATATTCCAACCCAGTTTTTGGCCTGGACTAATGTATTACAGGGAAGCAATTCAATACTCCTTGTTTCTTAAGAGTGTGAGGTCATCGCCTGATGACCTTTAGATTCAGTCATTCT